AGAGAGGAGAGGAGGAGAGAGAGAGAGAGAGAGAGAGAGAGAGAGAGAGAGAGAGAGAGAGAGAGAGAGAGAGAGAGAGAGAGAGAGAGAGAGAGAGAGAGAGAGAGAGAGAGAGAGAGAGAGAGAGAGAGAGAGAGAGAGAGGAGAGAGAAGAAGAGAGAGAGAGAGAGAGAGAAGAGAGAGAGAGAGAGAGAGGAGAGAAGAGAGAGAGAGAGAGAGAGAGAGAGAGAGAGAGAGAGGAGAGAGAGATAGAGAGAAAGAGAAAGAGAGAGAGAAGAGAGAGAGAGAGAGAGAGAGAGAGAGAGAGAGAGAGAGAGAGAGAGAGAGAGAGAGAGAGAGGAGAGAGAGAGAGAGAGAGAGAGAGAGAGAGAGAGAGAAGAGAGAGAGAGAAGAGAGAGAGAGAGAGAGAGAGAGAGAGAGAGAGAGAGAGAGAGAGAGAGAGAGAGAGAGAGAGAGAGAGAGAGAGAGAGAGAGAGAAGAGAGAGAGAGAGAGAGAGAGAGAGAGAGAGAGAGAGAGAGAGAGAGAGAGAGAGAGAGAGAGAGAGAGAGAGAGAGAGAGAGAGAGAGAGAGAGAGAGAGAGAGAGAGAGAGAGAGAGAGAGAGAGAGAGAGAGAGAGAGAGAGAGAGAGAGAGAGAGAGAGAGAGAGAGAGAGAGAGAGAAGAGAGAGAGAGAGAGAGAGAGAGAGAGAGAGAGAGAGAGAGAGAGAGAGAGAGAGAGAGAGAGAGAGAGAGAGAGGAGAGAGAAAGAAAGAGAGAGATAGAGAGCGACAGTCAATCAGGTAAAAATAGCGAACCAAAACCACACATTTTACGTAAACCTTCCAAGCTGAACACACGCGTATGTATTTGTACGTAATTTGATGCACGCGGAAGCACAACCAACCCCTCTCCTCCCCACCCCTCTCCCCCTCTCTCCCCACCCTTCTCTCCTCTCTTCCGCTTCCCCAACCCTTCTCTATCTTTCTCTCCTTCTTCCCCAACTCTTCCCTCGCTCTCTTCCTCTCTCCCTCTTCCGCCTCCCCACCCCTTCCCTCCCTCTCCCTCTTTTCCAAAGCCCTCCCCTCCCTTTCCCTCTCTCTTCCTTCTTCAACCCTTCCCTCCCTTTCCCTCCCTCTCTCCTCCTGCTCCCTCTTCCCCCCCCCCCTCCTCCTCCCCCCCCCTCCCTCCCTCGCCATGCAAACCAGCATCTGCGTGTTGTTAATTCCACGTTAATTAACAGCCGCAGCATCCGGGGGGCAACTTGAAGACGCCAGCGCAAGACAGCGCAAGACAGCTCAAGACAGCAGGTGGTCCGGCCAGCCCAAGCCAGCGCAGACGGCAGAACAAGATAAATCAAATCACATTTACCGTCTATCTCCCTGGGAAGTCTCGTGGGTAATCTGACACGGAGGTTGGCTTGGGGTTTGGGGTTTGGGGTTTCCTTCTCGGGTTTTTTTTCGGCTCGTAATAGGCTTCGCGGAAAGATAAAACGCTTGTGCGTGTGTCGGCGCGGGTGTGTGTGTGTGTGTGTGTGTGTGTGTGTGTGTGTGTGTGTGTGTGTGTGTGTGTGTGTGTGTGTGTTGTGTGTGTGTGTGTGTGTGTGTGGTGTGTGTGTGTGTGTGTGTGTGTGTGTGTGTGTGTGCGTAAGGATATCGGTCTATTGTATATGCACGCAAACACACACACACGTACACGCACAAAGATATGCACAGACACACACAAACACAGACACACACACACTCAAATATACAAACACGCACATACTTACGAACATATACAAATCCATCTACAACAAATATCCCAATACCTCACCTACACTAACGACTCCCAGGCCTTGAAAATACGTAACCATTGTTTCGGAGCAGATTGGAAGGTTCCCGGATGAGTTCCTAACAACATGGTAGTTAGTGAGTAATTATCTGCCATTAAAGAAGGGAAATGAGGGAAGCGCACCATAGCTATAACTAATGCACATGCGATGGCAACACCCATGTTAAGCGGATGGTAAGAGGAAAAATGAAAAGAAGGAAGAATGAAAAGATAAGAAAGGAAAGGAAGGGAAGGAGAAAATGAAGAAGAAGAAGAAGATGAAGAAGAAGAAGAAGAAGAAGAAGAAGAAGAAGAAGAAGAAGAAGAAGAAGAAGAAGAAGAAGAAGAAGAAGAAGAAGAAAAAGAAAGAAAGAAAGAAGAAGAAATAAAAAAAGAAGAAAACAAATAGCAGGATTTCACTTTAATTCGAAGAAGAAAGGAAACGATAATAAAGGAAAGGAAGGGAAGGAGGAAAGAATGAAGAAGAAGAAGAAAATAAGAAAGAGGAAGAAGAAGAAAACAATAAGTAACAGGATTTCACTTTAATTCGAAAAAAAAACTAAACTTTCCTCGCTTTCTTTTATATCTATACTTGCAATATAAAAAAAAATGTCACGTTTGAATTACAAAATTCTAAGAGCTTTCCCCCCGAATTTATTATTTTTTTGTCAAACGATTTTGTTTTTCTCATTTAATGCATCGACAAAATTCT